AATAATGTTGATAACACACCGATGTTTTAGTTGTTGCTAAGTGGCGCTTACTCTAAATCAAAGACTTTGGTTTCCCATGTTCTGCCAGTGAGCAAGTACGCAAGGAGCCGGGAAGGAACAGAGCCAGGACAGCTGACCCAAACTAGCCAAAGGGCTATTCCATACCATAGAATGTCATACTTAGTATAGAAACTGGCTGGGAGCCGCTGATTGCTGTTCAGGGACTGGCTAAGAATCAGCCGGCAGGCAGTAAGCAACTATATTAGGCATCATGTGTGTTTCTTTGAGTTTATTCCTTCATTTTTTCCTATTATTATTATTACTACTTTATTTTATTTCAGTTATTAAACTGTTCTTATCTCAATCTGCAGACCTTACCTTTTCTGATTCTTCTCCCATCCCACCAGGTGGGAAGGGAGGGGGCAGTGTGTGTGCAGCTACATGGTGCTTAGTTGGAACATGTCTACTGGAAGGGGCTCCCTGCAAAACCATCATTGCTTTCCATTTCCTATATACCACGGCTACAGGAGGAAGGCATAGCTAACAGTAATGGCAGCATTTGATTTATACTACCTGCTTCACAGTCTCTGCCACACAACCTTCCTTTCCTAAATGGGTGTGCTAACTGCTGTGCTACAGAATCAAGCTAGTCTTACATCCCTTTTCTGTCCCCATTAATGCTGAATTTTACAAGTACTATTATAAGAAGCATGAAGAGTGAGGGTCTTCTCCCCTCATCCTGCCTAAGATTATCTAATAGCTTGAGGTATAGGATCTAATCCTGCCAGAAAAGAGATGCGGGAATAAAGGTAGGACAAAAGGATAGTGAATTTGGATGTCTTGGATGAATGTGTTAAGCAGTAAAGTATCAGATAAAGTACTGCTGTCTTCTGTTTTCTCGTGAGAGAAAAGTCAGACATTGAGGTTCAAGGGAGTCTTTCAGGCTGCAAAACCCAAGTACAGAGAGGCAACAAATAGTGCCTGGAGAGAAGCAGCTTGCAATGGTGTCTTGCTGGCCAGCTTCTGAACTCCATATAGATTTGATGTATTTATGTATCTACCTCCCCCCCAGCTGCTAATTTCACTGCAGGCATTAGGCCACTGAAGTTAGATGTTGTGAAGTTTTGGTGGTGTGGCAATCAGTGGCTGTGTATCAAAACAACAACTTTTTGTTGTTTTGTTGCCAAAAGTATTGCAGAAAATGTTCTCAAGAGATGAAGGATCTGAACCCAAACTTCCCAGTGCCATGGCTGAGACTTAGAACACTGGATCAATCTCTCCCTCCTCCTGGAACTTACTGCTTTTTCTTGTACACACAAATGCAAATAAAAGTTTACTTACAAGTGTGTGAAGTGACTAACTCATTCTTCTCCAAATATGTGTCTACTTTATGCATTTGATGGACTATCTCCTGGTCCACTTAATGCTTTCTCATTACAGAACTACATTTTCTGGGTTTTCACACCACATGGAGAAGAAAACTAGCTAAAGACAAGAAGAGTTGGCAACCGCAATACCCAAAAGTGACTGGAAGGCCTGAGAAGCAGGTCCAGGAACTGAATCTGGTTGAGCTCATTGGTTTATACTGACCAGATTTCAAGCTGATGGTGTCATTTGGCATTAATTTCTGGTTTTAAGAAAATTAAGACCCCACTTAAGCACAAAATGTCAGTATTACTTCTAATTCTTCAAAATATATGTTTAATGTATCCTGTAGTAAAAGGTCTCCCCATTCCCTTAAGCCTGTCTGAAAATGTCTGAGAACAGCAACATATGCAGTATCAATGTCAAATAACACAGCATAAGGTCTGATTCCCTTCCCCAACCTTCATCCATGATGTTTAGTACCTTAATCCCAGAGGATATCCCAAAAAAAGACTCATTTTCTGGGGGACTAAGAACTTCAAATATAGACAGCTACTTACCAATCCTCATTTGAGTTTGCTGAAGTTTTGCTCCTTGTCCTGTCCATGCCCATAGCAGTCATGTACAGCACCTCTTGTGGATCCAAGTCTACATTCACAGTCCTTTAGGAGGAGTTCAGAAAAGCATATGCCTCATGAAGTAACAGGAGATGGATCTACCTGTGTACCCCGTGACATCCAGGATCATCTCTCCCAGTAGCTGTATCTACACGATCTGAAGGCCAGGCTTTTCAGAGCTCAAGCATGGACATGTGGTTCCATACAGGAACAGGTCAGGAGCTTCAGACACACACACAGAACCTGCAGAATATCCAGAGCTATGATGTAGGTGGCTGGGAGCATGACACAGAGGCTTCTGGATTTAGAGCCCCTCTAAAGACTGTTTGCTCTTATCAGGGCTGACAAAATCACTGAATCCACTCACAGGTCCACCCTGGTATAGAATTTTGCAGTCTCAGGCATATACATCAGCTCAAAATAACATTTTTAGGACACTACTATGACGTGTAAGAAAATCAGCACTTTTAAACGTGCTGTCCATGACTCTGGTTGGTGTTACTTAGCACAAATACAGTAACTTACCTCAAACTGCAATATCTTCCCACCAGTCCTGCACTGAGAAGGAGAATGCCTCCCAGAGCACAATGATGAATTAAATGAAAGGTGCAAACCTTTCTGCTGCAAGTCATGCAAGGGTTAAAAGCAGTAAAGGGAGAAAATATGGAAATGCGTATGATGCTCTTTTGCCTTTTTTTGTTTCCTACTGACAAAATGTAGTGGAAACCCTCATTAATAAGAATAGGTGAAATATTATCAGTCTCCCTTTTCAGTTCAGGCAATGCTAGGGCTGTGGTGCTGTTTGGCTGCACCTGACAGAAACCTTACAAGCAACATCTAGAGTAAAGCTGGAAGATTTACCCACAGACCTTCAAGAGGCGAGATATTCTCACCTCCCTTTGACTTAGAAAAGCCAAACTCCTGAGCATCTGGAAGGCTACACACCACAGCTAGCACATCAACAGCATGTAGGGCTGCATTAACAGCAAGTGCAGAACTCAGGTGCAGCATGCTCTCAGCAGCGTGCCCTCAGTGAAAGCTGGGCAGTATGCTCTGCTCCAGCACAGCTTTCTGAATTGCCTTTCAAAGTAACTCTTGTTTGAGCATGTTACAGCAACCTAGCTACACGGTGACAAAAACATACATAATTGTCACAGCTTTGTGTTAGAGGAAAGGGCAAAATCGAGACAGCTCAACAGAGGCACAAGCAGGCGTGTTGATATGGAAGCAAATGAGAAAATTCAGCAGAATTAGCACCAGATGCATTAGCACTTCTTCCTTCATAGGTTAGGCAAAAAGGGGAGTAATGATTAATGCTAGTTTTATTTATACAATTCATTTTTTCCCACTTACGAAGGGCACCGCAGTGACTTGGCACAGTGACTAGGTGCCAAGCGAGAGCCCTGTTGTGAGAGTCTGTGTTTTGTGCCTTAATCTTTGTTGCAATCACAGCAGGTCAAGTACCCAGAGAGCACTGTTACCCCGTGTACAAAAAGTATCTGTGGAACTTTGCAAGAGTTCCACTAGAAGACAATCTCATCTATAACTCCCTTTTACACACCACTTTTATGCCTAGAAATTACTAAAATATACTCATTTAGATGATACCAAATTTGGCTGTGGCAAATTTACATCAGGAGTGATTTTGACCCTAGGAAATTTAGGAAATTTCTTTCCAAGAAAAATTGCTCTTCGCAATTGAGGCTTAAATCCACCAAGAGGAGAAACAACCAATCAGCTTCAGAATTCCAGGGATGCCTTCATCTCTGTGTTTTCCCTGTGGTTTTAGAGTATATTGTTGCATATGAGTTACAAATGCGTGAAAACATTAAAGTTGAGCCAACTACAAAATAAGCTAATATCTTGTGTTTTCTGAAAAATGCAAGCCTAATTAGAGTTTAGGTAATTAAAGCTTTCACAGTTATAAAAAATACAATACATTCATTTATGCAAATCTGACACTGAGTGCGATTTCAGTAAAATACCATGTAATGTGCATAACGTCACAATTTTGCTTACAATTGAAACGTCTGCAAAGCAAGTTCTCTTCCTAAATTTCAGGCCCGTGCACTGTAATTCTCTTGCATTATGGATTTAAAACTCAGATTGCTTTGTCTTCAGTTAAAAATGATTAGCAGTTTACATCGGATTTATGTGCTGGCATAGCCTTTGTATCACTGAACAACTACAAGCTGATTTACAAAAGCCCCGATACACTATGTGTATATCTATGTAACTACAAAGTAATGTGTGATGGCAGGCATAACCAGCACACATAATTTATAATTAAGTGATTAGCAATATAAGCCACTATTATTAATTAATGTGTAATGCTGACATTGTGCTTGGGGCTGTATAAACTACAAGCATAAAGCAATCTCTGCCTCGGAGTGGCAAGAGGCTACAATGACAGGCACCATCTCCCAGTCCCACACCTTCTGGGCAGCTGGGGGGAGAAAGCACCCAGTGGGAGTCCTTAAGCTGGCTTGGCACAGCCAAGCACAGGCCACTGAAGGCTACCACAGCCACCAGCACCTCTGAAAGAACAGCAGTGGCAAAAGCAAAGACTCCTTTTCTCTAGTCAGAAAGCAAGAGAGCAATACCAAATCCTTAAAGACTCTCCAGCCTCTGTAATACTGAGGCAAAGACGCAGCAAATCTTAATACAGAAGAAGGAAGTCCTAGCTCCTCTCTCCCTGCTCACTGAAGAACAAGTGGGGACAAGTATCTTTGGGGGCTACATGGATGCTTTTGCTCCTCTCTTATTCTGCAGAGTTAAGACCAGCTTTTGGGAGCACAAAACCTGTGCTTCCCAAGGGAACAAGAAAGATTCACAGGATGTGAGGTCCCCCAATACCATGACAGCCAGTTCTCATGAAACAGCACCCAAAGCACATTCATAGAGAGAAACAGGAGTGAGTAAAATGAGATGCCACAACCAGAGTAGTTAAATACTCAGGTTATGTAGATCACAAGAACAGTCACTAAATGTTTGAGAGGGAGGGGACTTCCCAGAGAGAGCACACATTTAAGTTCGATCATTTCTTTCTAATGTGGACCGAGATTTTAACAGAAGCAGCATGTAAAGAGCTGGTTCTGGCTCATAGCACTCAGCATTGCTGTGTCAGTAGTCACATTTCCTTGTATATGTGGAAGGATGAGAGGCATGAAACTTCTTGCCATGAAACCAGTATAGCTCCACCAATGGTTAGCACCCAACAAGGGATAAACACTCACATCTAAAGAGGGTTAGGGAGAGTTTTTAATACCTTCCCTCTGAATTAGCCAGGAGAAGTCTGCAGTAACTAAAACTGGGTTTAAAACTTCTGGGGGAATTAGGTGTTGAAAACCAGCTCTAACAGATATTAGTTTTGAAAATCCTCTGCTTCTTTCACGCTCTGCAGTCTGAACGGGAAAAAATCCAACCTGGAAGTGTCCTTCATTATTATTTACATAGAGCCTTACCTGCTCTTCTGTTGATAAATCGAAAAGCTGTATTTGCAGCAAAATAATGATAATATACAGCTGCACGGGCAGATTACGAAAAGCAAAGCAACCAGACAATTATTTACTGTGCTGCTGGAAGACAGGTACTAACTTTCCTTACATCAACAAGTTTTAAAACTGTCACGCAGCTTTTAATTGCCATTAATAAGGTAGAGATAAAGCCCTCTGGGTCTTAATCCCATCATCATGGTGTTGCAAGTTAATGATATGTTAGCCAGCGCTTTATATCACTAGCTTACAGAAGGGTCAGAAGGAACATTTCATCCTAGGCCATCAAGGCTATATTCCACGGGTAACCTCTAACCTGGTGGGGCTGTCAATCAATGAGCAGCACCCATGAGCACCGTGCTCCTGGTATATCTCCTTTAACACCTATGAATTTTGTCAGTCATCATCCATTATTAACAGTTCTTTCAGTAGCTACAACTAGACTGAGTTGTCAGATCTTTTCAGGATAGTGGAGGGTGATTTGCTATTGATCTTGTCTTGGAGAATTAGGGATCTACTCATGGGTTTGGCTAGCTGATGGCACCCTGAAAGGCAGAAGATGGTTTGGTTTGCTTTGAAGAACCTCAGAAGATTACATGAATACAAGAACTGTAAGAAACCTGCAAAATATTAAAGGGGCTATCAAGGAAACAGCTTCAGATGGATTTAGCTAAGAGATGAACAGGGATCATAAAAGTCAGGTCATGGAAAATAGCTGGGCCCCAGTAATGAGAAGGACCTCTGAGAGGTATTGTCATACAGATAATAGAGATCTGCATCCAACCTACCACAAGATTCATTGGCACTTTGATCAGATCTATGTCTTCTGTATAGATAAGGGCAAAGAAAGAATCCAAAGGAAAAGCCATTTTCCCCAGCTTGCTATTGAAGTATTCTTACAGGAGAATGCTCTGGAGACCAGGGGCTCTGCTGAATAGTTTTACATAGGAAGTAGGGCTGGAAGAGTCCTCCCAGGTCATCCGCTGCTACGTTTGACACATCATATCTCATTGATATCACAACATCACAATCTTATTGATAAATTCCTCAAGATTTTTCTTGAAACCAGGTAGTCTTCTTGACCCTGTGACTCCTATTGGAAAGCTGCTCCAAAACTTCATGATATTAAAAATCTTTAGCCCTTTTCCAAAGAACATTTGTTCAGCTGGCTCCTGTCAATTGTTCACAAGGCTTTCAGTTCACCCCTAATTTAATCAGTTCTCTCTCACCACTTACTCTGATAATATATTTATAGAGAGCAACATACCCCTACTCAGTTTTAGTTTTGCTAAACTTAAAGAGTCTTTTATTCCCCATTTCCTATCCCAATGTAATATCCCTTTTTCTGGACTCTCTTTTTCTGGATCTCCCCAGTGCCTTGTACAAAAGTACTCAGGAATCCCATGTTTCCTGGATATGCTTCCCCTGATGCAACATCCAGGGGAGCATCTCAGGGAACGTTTCCCTTCCCTGCTGTCGCTGAGCTCCAGCAGTTGTCAGTCATTGTGAGACTCAGCAAAACACTTCTGTGTTTCTTCCAGCTGATGAGCCTCCTGCTCAGAGCAAAAAAAACCAACATCTGCATGACCTTGTGGTTTATTAGTACTTAATTTTATCCATTTTCCATTTCTCCTCTTGTCAGGGTCAGTCCTTCTCTCAATTGTCAAGGCCTCACAGCTTTCTGTCTCTTCCAGACTTTGCATTTGCACACATTTTCTGCTGTGGCCACAAATAAAACTGTTCAGATGGGTCACAAGACTGATCATTAATATACTCTGCTCGTTACTGTGCTTTTCCCTTGACAGTCCTTTCAGCTCAGTTCTCAGCAATCCTCCTATAGCCATTTCTTTACATTTATTGTGCCCTATGTTCTCCAGCCTGAATTCTTTCCTTTCACATTTTAAACCACTGCAATAAACACTTTACAGAAATCTTGATGAATTAGAGCGACTATATTTCTCTTGGTCACAAACTCAGAGAAAGATACCACTGCAATGTGACACAATTTATCTTTGGTAGCCTATCTACCACTACAGTATTTCCTAATTAAACCCTCTTCCAACAGATCCATGCAAAGTTCAGTGCCCATGTATTACAATGACAACAAAGGTCAGCTCCCCCCAATCTCACTCTGCTAGAAATGAAGAGCTTAAAAAGTAATGAAGGTATTTCACTACAAGAAAAGTTCTAAGACCTGATCTGGCTTGGAACGTGAGCCACAGTGTAAGCCCATACAGTACAATCATTATAGAGATTCAAAGGATTAACCAGCTCAAAATTATGACACAATCTACCTAGAATTGTAATAATTTGAAAGGTCCCACCAGCCTTTTACATGTTTTCAAGTTTATGGCAGGAATCGTTATTGGTCACTGTTCTTAAGCTAAAAAAATATGGTTCCATTGCACAGAGCTACTCACCTTGGAGTCTGCAATGAGAGTGCAGCAGAATTTACTGTGTTGTCCTAAATCATCCTTACCTTTGCCTCAGCATTTACTCCTTACTGTAGATATCTTAATAGAAATGGGACTTAGCAGGGAAAGAAGTGCTTTCATTGTTTCTTTCACATTCAGGACATGCAAGTGTGCAGAAGTCTCAGGCACCAGCTGAGACACAGATATAACCTTGTTCTGAAGAACAGGGACTTCAGTATTGCAAACGTGCACAGAGCCCATGCTGCTGTGGGTCCTTTCAGAGAGCTAGTTGTGATGTCTGATGGAAACATAATAATATGGACAACAGGCTGCAAGTATCATTCCTTTGTGAACTTCACTATCTCACCAGGTCAATTTAATTATTCCGAGAAGATTAACAAGGAAAGAAATAGCACCATTGCTAGACCCCCAAACATTGTGCCATGTCCCTCTGGAAGGAGAGAGGAGTTTGTGACTAAAACAGAGCAGAAAGACTTACAGTGGTACTCTGGATGTTCTTCATGACATTGGACAAGTCACTTGAGCTCTGTGTGCCTCAGTTTCCCCACCTGTAAATCTGCATCATCATAGTTTGCAGAACCACAGATTCATTTTGAGCCCTTATCTATTAGAGCTTTTGAGACATTCTCAGATCCTTAGATGAGAATTGCTAGAAACTATCATCAACTCAGTAACTATATTTGCAAGGAACAACTCTCTATTTCGGCTGAGTCAGTAGGGCTGCTCCTCATAGAAAGCTCTTAGTTTAGTAGTTCTTACGGGTTGAGAGAGCCTGAGTTTCAGTTCTGATGATGTAGCATGAGAAAATGATAGCAACATGTACAGCACACTAGTAGTTGCCATACTTCATCATTGGAAGCTGTTAGATTTAGGTGAACATGAACGTGCTAGCAGACAAATACACCAAACCCTGACAGAAATAAATGGTAAGAAATGTTTTATCAAAGAGCAGGCATTTGCCATAAGCCCAACACTATGAAATGCAGGCCTCAGTTTCTATAAGAGCCATTCATCTAACATTCAGTATCAATTAAATGAAAGCTGCCTGAACAGTGTAAATCATTATCTTTACACTTATACCATTTCTTTGTTAAGCTTCTCAGACCTGGGCTTGTGTGAAATCCAAGGACAGCCATGAGAAGTTCTACATGTACCTTGCAGACATCTACAGTATGCTTAACTGCCTTCCTGCTAGGTGTGCATAACTCCAGTTGTCCAGCCTTCTCTAGAGAAGGAGAACAAGAGGAAAGTTCATTGTTTCCCCAACAATTTGCAAGAATATCTGAATTAAAAATGGAAGTTTTGTCATTTGCATTGCAAAGGGAGCAGGGAAAGAGAGGAAGTATTGTTAGGTATTGGTAATGTAAAAACATAAGTATGCTGTTATTTATGTAATTAGTTATTGCTTTCATTATGGGTGCAGTCTTAATGGTTATAGTATTTATGTATAATTACCTTAATATTCACTGAAATTTCCAAGTAGCTCCCTAATTAACTGTCTCAAATATATAATTACATTGCATCTTTACGCAAGACTTGCCTAATTAATGTAGTTACACCACTTCTTTGTGAATGTGCATTATTAAATGCTCTTCGCATCATTCTTCTGACTTCTTGTAATTCACGCTTTACAAAAATTAAGACCCTGAATTAGAAACCTTCATGAGTAACCAGCTCCAAAAGCAAGCACCAGATGATCTTTTCTTAATAAAAAACAAATCTTGCTAAGCCTCATTACCACTCCCTTTAACAAAAGCTTTCCATCTGGATCTGAAAGAAATCCCAGGTACCATTGTCTTTTAAGAGGGCAGAGAAAATACGTTGTACATTTAAAGAGAAGAAGACTTTGCTGCCATCAAGGGTCCAAACTCCTGGACTTCCTAAATCATCTGCCAACAAGCCTGTCTGGTAAAAGGATTGGGTGAGTGCATGATAACACCCCGATCACTTGGCAGTGTTTGGTGGTATTCTCTCGGGTGAGTGCATGATAACACCCCAATCACTTGGCAGTGTCTGGTGGCATTCTCAGAATACAAGAAGGAACAAGGGAAGACTTACTGGTGAGACCACCCTTCAAAATCATGTGTGCCATGGTTTTAAACCAAGAGCTTTGAAATCCTTTTTGCCAAGGGTTCCACCTCTGCGCTTGGCACACTAGCTGCCACTTTGAAGTGTCTTGCACATCACGGGTTACCAGTGTATCACAACCTGGGAGCTCTTGTCTAGCGTGCAGTTCCTAGATCAGTGGGCAAAGGACTGAATGCCACCATCAGTCAGCAACATGTGTGAAGGGAATTTTTCTGCTCTGAAGGATTTAATTGCATTTATAGGCTGAATTCCTCTGACCCTCATCATCCTCCAGGACGTTCAGGTAGTAACGTGAGAAGAAAGGGAGTAAGCAGAAATTCTGGGATCCTGTCTTGTAGGTCATTATGCCCATCTTCACCTGCCAGTGAGGACTACAGTGATAGAGAGGTTAGGTCAGAGGCAGCTTCTCTAAACAAAAGGAGATGCACTGAAAAGTAGCAGAGCTAAAGAAAACTCACCAGAGCTCTCATATAACGGAACTAAATCTGAATCCACCGAAAGGTAAGGACAAGATTTACCATTCCACAGCCAGACCAGATGGCAAGGAAGAGTCTGATTCTGATGGCTTCATAAGTCAAGCTTCCCCTACACTGGACCCACTCAGTGAATCCTGTTGGCTGGATGGGCATGACAAGCCTAACGCACTACAGCAGCACTGAACTCACCATTTATTTATATGTGATCAGCTTGCCCAAAGGCAGTGTGTTTTTCACACCTGGGTTTTTTGAAACAGTTGGGTATGCACTACAGACATCTCCCAAGGATCTGTGTACTGGTTAAATGCTTACCCCACCAGTTGGGACTTGGAGAAAATCTTGCCAAGTGTGCTTGTAGACTCTACAGCTGCTTCACCTAGTGACACCCATTCATAAAGCAAGTGAAGTGGGGGGGGAAGAGACATGCTTCAAGGGCATTTACTTGGAAAATGTTCTCTTGCAGATCTGAAGTGAAGGCTGAGAGAAGTATTTTAAAGATGGTCTCTGTCTGTTCCAAATAATCTGGTTTGTACATTAGTTGTTCATTTCCAGTGTGAGATTTCTCAACACATACACATGGCAGCTAAATCTCAGATGTGAATGGGCAAAACCTCTGGAGCTCAGGACCCAGGTTTGTCTTCTTTTACCACTGCAAAGTTTGCAGCAACCAGCTGTCAAAGACAGGCATTACATAGATGTAAAACTAAGGAGATCATCCCATTTCAGCCCTCCCAGCAAGCACTGTGTACTAGTACAGATAAACTATGCTATACAGGAGAACTACCCCAGATAACTATGCTTGAATATAGATATAATTACCTTGGTAAGCAAAGAGTGAACTTTACAAGGGAGGCTGACATTTTCAAGTGTAGAAACATGCAGTTAGGCACCTAAATAAACAGCCTGGCTCTCAGAAGCACTGAACATTAGGAAGTCAGAATAAGAGCTACTGTGTGCATCTTCAAATATCCTGCCCTATACGTCTGTGTATTTTGGCCATTTAATAAGTACATCGTATTTTTCCATAGAAGTCCATGATCCTAAACTACCTATATTAAACAAATCTGTGCTTAAACAGGTTCAAGCACTGAACAAATATCAAATCCATCACTGCTAGCAAATCACTGCTATTTTAAAAGAGCATCTTGCTTTTTGAACTAGCAGATGCCAACTCATATACTAGATACAATAATTAACCACTTTGTATTGCAATATTTTGGATAGATGTTTAACGTATCAGTTGAACATGTTTCATCCAATGTGTGACGTGCATGGAAAATACACTGTCATTCCACCGTGGGGTTTTTCCACTTGCATTTTTTTCTTTGGTTTTATAGTACGCAAAGAGTGACTGAAATAGCCAGTCATACAACATCTGGGAGACAAAAAACACACACAGGAAAATGCAGCAGAAGGGGAAGATTCATGAAAACAGGAAACATTTAGAGGAGAGTGAAAATATGTCAAAACAAAGGAGGCAATAGACTGTCAGAACAAATGAGTTCACCCATCGGCAGAAGTTCCTCAAGAGCCTTCAGAGACCAGCAAGGTGACGTATGCCACTCCTGACACAAAAGGACAGCAACCTTTTGAACCTCCACCCTGCACACACATGAAATATGGTGGTCTACCCATAGACATGCTAGATCCACACAGAAAAAAAAACACATTTTCCAGGCCTGTGCCTTGCTCTAATAGGAAACACCAGCATTTTAAGAACACTGCTAATAGCAAATACAGATGCTTATGGCCACAGGTGCCCAATAGGTGCTTAGGCCTAGTTAAATCATCACTCACAAACACGAGCATCGCAAAGGACATTTTGCTCCGTGTCCATAGCCTTTTCAACAACGTTTGCACAAACGGCCTTTTATTTACCCAAAGCTTTACCAGTGCTCCTGTATTTCAGGCAGAGTATTCATCTGCATCCTTCACCTTCCCTCAGGTTTCTATTCATAGCACTTTAGTCATTCATTTGGATGCTGTTAATATTATTCTGTGCATTGGGATAGTTTCCCAACAGAGTAAAACATGGTGAATACCCAAAGCAAGCAGCCCTCAGACTGAACACTGCTCACCCAAGCTGGTCAGGCCACGTTTCAGTGATAAATGCAAGTGTAGAAATCAGGACATGGTGCAACATGAGAAGCTGTGAAAGCAAAGGCCATTCTGCAAGAGGTTACACAGACTTTAAAGCCTGTCAAAGCAAAGCTCCCCCCCGCCTTTCTGAGAGGACCCTCAGATAGAGGGAGCCTTTGTAAGACACCATCAGCTCTTGAATCTCTATAACTTTAGACAGAAAAGCAGGCAGGTATCACCTATACAAAGACAAGTTCCTTGTGTGGGATTTTCTCGGTCTTCTTATCACAAAGCCATCTAGGAGGATTTTTACTGAGACGTGGTACCACAACGCTTTGTAGCAAACTAAAGCCCAGCCTATAGAAAATGAAGGATGTGAGGGCAATTTTAAAATGAAATAGCCAACAGAAAAAGTAAAAGCAGTTCAGTGTAGCCTCACCCACTGGCTTCATCATACAGCAGATTCATGGGCTCTCCCCATTTCAGGCTGAGTATTTCCCTCAAACACAAAGGTCATTTAGATGCATAACTCCTGTTGATGCTGAAAAGAGAGGCAAGCACTTAAATGCATTTGTGCCTTCAAATATCTCCCCCTGTTGTAATAAAACTAAGTCTCAAGACTTGCAATAAAATGCATTCACAAGTGTCCTATGGAACACCCCAAATTAAAATCACACTTGCTTCTGGTACAGGATTTGCCCTGCAGGGCAAGGAGAGCTATTTGATTGGCCCTACTGCTTCCCAGGGACATGATGCTTCTTCTCCTCCAATCCAGGGAGAGGAGCAGAGAAACCTTGGGACTAAAGCCACATGGGCATCATGGAGTGGCTGATGGGAGGACAAGGGATGTGACAGCCACCAAAGGCCATGCAGCAGGGATTCTGACCCGAAATTTCCATCAGCTTCAGTCTCAAAAGCAAAGCTGCCACCTGAAGGGCACATGAACTTCATGAACCTGTATCAACACATGGCCTCTAAAAATACTACAGAAGGTATCTGAGGGTGTTTGAATGGCTGCCCCCAAGGGCAGCAAACAGTTGTAGGTCACCAGCCTCAGCAGGACATGGGTGTCCAGCATGTCTCCTTGAAAACTGTGAGCTTGAGCATTCCCTCCAGCCTTGCAACTGCACTACCATACCCATGGGTGTTTCATCTTACTTTGAAAACAAAGTTAACACCTTTTACAAACTCCAGTTTGTACCCAAAAATCCTGCATTTTGCACTCAAGACCCAAACATGACCACAGAGTTAAGCAGCACTACTGAGCATCCATCAGGCTGGATGGACCAAAAGAGAAAGTAACAGATCTTGAAAGTTCATTGCAATCCAGGACCACATCGTGTTGCATGAAGACCTGCCCCTCTCTGGTAACAGATCCCCCCAATATCTGGGCAAAGGAGGAATACCCCAACTCCCCCAGCTGCCAAGGCTTTCCTACAAATACACACACAGCAACATGCACTTCAGACACAGGGATCAGAAAGCATGTGTGACCCTGCTCCAGCCCCCAGGAGTGAGCAGTACTGTGGAGCAGTGATGGGATCAGCAGAACATGCAGAAGGTGAACCCCTAACCACATACCTCAGTTTGGAAAAGTTAATGTTAACCATTACCTGAAGGGCAGCTCTTCCACAAGGCGTTGATTATTCCCCACAGCGATGAAATTAGGAAATATAGAGGGGTTCTGCCAAAAAAAATACATAAAAATGAAAAAAAACCCTCTTAATTGCATACAGTACTGCATGACTTCACAGAGCAAAGCTTTTCTTTAAGATCTTAAGACCACCCACAAGCATAACACATGGCCTGGAACCTGAAGAGAATATCTGAACAGGGGTCTCAGCATAAGGATGGGAGGAGGGCAGTTTTGCTTGGGCATATGCAAATGTTTGTTTCTATGGGATCAAATAAAGATTAACTATTTGTTGTGCCTGGCTATCGTTTGCCAGAGCTGGGGGCTGCTTGCTAAAACAGGGAGAAATAAACCTTTAAAACCTGTGACACAGGAGAGTTATTTGTCTGTGCAAGGCTTTAGTCACGGGTTTTGGTGCTTTATGTATGGATGTTGTGCGGGAATAGGACAACAAGAGCTTTGTTCAACTTGATCATCTCATCAAACAAGGCTAAAAGAATAAAAGTTGGGATGCAAGACTAAATGGATATGATCTGAATGCATATTTGTGTTACATCTAATACAACTAGCATCATAGATGAACAAGATCAAATAAATGGTAAAACCTGACAAAGAGAAGAATAGATGGTGTGTGGAGCCATCTGTTTTGGAGGACACCCAAATCTGTCTGAATCAGGAAGGCCAAACTACCAGCTATTCTAAGATCCTCCATTCCAAGAGTGGCCTAATACGCAACTACACAATCAGCTTCTCTCACCATCACTTTGGCTGCAACTTTTTTGTGCAATTAAGTAATTTATTCCTTTCTTCATCCTCCTGATTCTAATGAATCCAAGCCACAAACAAGCCCCAGTTGCTCCTATTCAAGGAGTCTGATTGCATCTGGCAGTAATTGCTGAAAATCCTGAAGAGGAAACAGGGAAGGAAAGCATATTGTTTGTGGGGGTAATAGGTGAAGACCTGCCTCTCTTGACCTATAATACATTAGTGTCAGTGAACATTTGGCAGCCTTCAGATGATTAGCAATGAAGATGAATCAAGCAAAAAAAGAGGTAGAAATCTGCCTCATCTGAATCGCCAGAACTGCATAAATTTGCATGTTGATTAGCTGTTCTTTTGTCTGTGCTCCTAATTATTATGACACATTATGTCTTCATCATGCAAGATTCTGATCTGTCTTGTTCAAAATGCATGTAGAAAAAAGTGCTGTTTATTGATTCAACATGTAACTTTAATTTTTATGTTTGCTTTAATTAAATACATATTTGATTGCCTTTGACTGGTGTCTCGGGTTTTTTTAACTCTTATTTACTTCCTCCTGTTGACAAACAAACAGGTAACCTTTCTTTATTCTCGGATCACTTGCTGATTAGAATCCTCCCCACCCCCAGCCTCATCTTCACTCACAACCACCTTTGCTTCCTTGTTAGAGCCAAGATTGCCAAAACAAAAAGTCCTTAGGTGGTGAAGCTCGATAGCTACAGCACTGAGCAGGATTTTGAGGACCTTAATGACGTTAACGACAGCAAAGAAGTGCACGTACTACAGGGTCAAGGTGATTTTCTTACACTGTAGATTCATTAGCAGTAAGAAAACACCTGGATAGGCAAAACTTCTGCTTCGTGGGATCAGTTACAATGGGCTCGATCCTGCCCACATTGTCTATTGACTCTCACAGCAGCAAGATTAAACTCCGAAGTTCCTGACCCCAAAGGAAGTGAAGTCCACAGCATCCCATTGACTCTCCTACTTAACTCCAACAATCAGGGCATTTTAGCAGTTTCTGGGAACTGGGAATCTTGAAATTCACATTTCTTCCTATGAGATTTGTTCAGGTGGCTATAGGCAGCCAAATCAAATCAAAGCCAAATCAAAAAACATAGAACTGTAATGACCTAAAGAAGTTTCCAGAAGGTTATCACTAAAAAAAAGGCAACTTATGATGCCATTTCTGTATTGTAAAAACAAAATAATTTAATATATATTTTATCCTTTCTTAACTGTTTTATAAAATCTTGAAAATGAAACAGTATTTTCAGTTGAGAATCAAAGTTTTTCCTTGTAGATGATGTTGGACTGTTTAGAAATGCTTAAAAGAAAAGGGGTTTTGGCACTTTTTTACCTCTTCCCTCAAATTTAAACAATTCACTAAAAGCAGCAAAGATTCATGCCTCATTTTGTTTGACAGAAAACTGCCTGCTTTAAGCAAGAACTTAGTCTGAGATTAAACATTTGACCCTCTTCTCTGCCTGCTAATGTCATCTTACCTTTATTACATGTATGCTTATCATGAACTCCGTCCTGTTTGTAGTGGGGGCAAACAATACTCTGCTTGAATTTGTGTTTGCTAAATCAGTAACATGTTTGTATAACAATAAGCATCATGTTGTAATTCAGTCAGCTAAATAGCTCACAGAACTTTGCACATAATTCTTCAGGTTGTGGGTCAATTATGAGGATCATCAAGTTTGACTGCCTTCCTCTAAGGGTAAAAATGGGGTAATTCCTTATTGCTTTTAGTCTTCTGAAATCTAAACCCTCAAGAAAAGGAGTAAACAACCTATTACATTTTCTCTAGGGGCAACAGAACATGCCAGTCAATATACAGATATTAATCAAACTGTGCTGCTAAAGATGCCTGAGGATGAAAAATCCTGTATATTCAAGCCACTGATGTTGCTGTTCTTTTTTACCATTGCACCCTTGCCAAACCGAATGAGATTTGAAACAATAATGCCTGCCGTTCTTCACCGTTAATGGCACATGATTGGCTACAAGTGTAATCAGTTGCTTGGTACCCACTAATCATCTTGATACACAGGTAAACGTAAATCTGTATTTCGAAGAATATAAACACGTAATTAACACGTACCTACAGAAAAACTACTGGAATATAAAGACTTCAAGGCTTTGACATAAACCCACAAGGCAGGAAGGGAAAAGTTGTTGCCCATTGAGGCTATTCATGTTTATTTTCCCTCAGTCCCAACCAAACCATAGTAACCACTGCCATGGACCTCCTCCATATCAACATCCAGGAGTAACCGAGGAATCAAAAGAGATCTCACATGTAGACATAAATAATCATAGGGAGCTAAATAGAGGCAGCTAATAGACTTTCTCTTTTCTGTAATTCTCTTCCCAAGGCACTTCAACACACACTGATCTGCACAGAGGAACAACGCTCTGGGCCCACCCAGCCTCCGCAGCACTGAGCACAGCCAGGGTTTGGCTGAGTGTGCCCCAAGTCAGGCAAAGCACAATGGACAAGTGGGTCCCACTGGTGTGCGTGATGTGGTGCAAGCCAGCATTCCTCACCTCCACCCTGCAGCAGTGGCCTGAGGATGGGGCAGCCAGCAGTTACCAGGACCACCACTGCATGCTGCCATCACCAGTATCAGTACATACATATACTGCAAGTATCATAGTGGTTCTCATTCATCAAAGGAGAAATCATACTGATGAATGGATGCATTCCTCACCCATTGCCCTTTCCTACAACTTAATTAGCAGGAGGGATCAGTCACTTCTTCATAAGCGGAATTCAGCTTCTTTGCAGGATCCAAATGATGTCCTAAAAACAGGATCCATCACCTGGTGCACAATAGCCAATTCTCACACACAAGAGCTTATTCCAAGTTTGAGGGGGAAAGGGGGTTGTAGGTGGTATCCCACAAAGCTAGCACACCACTCCATACAAAATTCCCATATTAAAACAATTCAGTTGAGGTTAGTAACTCCCCATAACCCTCTCACAATTTACCAATTGGTCAGTTAATTTACAGATTGGCTCATTCATTTCTAACTACACATGTTCAGGGAAAGGCCTTTAAAGTTGGGTGGGGGTCTTTTGACCTATAGGCATGATTTTTAATGTTATAATGAGGGTGTAATGAGGTCAAAAGGGGTCTTTTGACCTATAGGCATGATTTTTAATGTTATAATGAGGGTGTAATGAGGACAGTTCATTGAAAGGACACCCTAATCATGTGTTGGTGACATATCAAAGTCATATATTGATGATTTCCATGTGTTTTCAGGATGTACCAGTCTTCAAGGATAGTCTTTTCTGCTAAGAAATTCCTTAGCCCTGTTTCTTAATCCACCTACACAAGGCCAAAGCCTACTCTTTGTTAGTATTGTTCCCAGCTCATCCTGACCTTTTAGGAGGCCCTTGTATCTGTTCAGGCTTTTTCCACAGTAACATTCCAATTTTTAACTAGATTCCCACTTAAGTTCCTTATTTTTTAACTGTATGCCTACAACACAAGTCCAAACAGTTCTATCTTCCGTAAGTGCTTCCCATCCTCTCCTATGAAAAGCAAGAGCATTCTTTTACATCTGGCCAAACTCAGCCTCATTTAAAAATCCTAGAAAGTGCTCTCGCCCAGCTCATCAGAGGAGTATTTACCAATGTGCTGACAGGACAGGGCTTCTGGCTGCACTGGCTGCACCTCAGAACTCACTCTGTTTTAGTATCTGTTTGTCCTGGATTTAACCCAGCGACAGTGTCTGGCTTCCTCACGCTGCCATCTGTCCAGGATTGCTCCAGAGCCCAACCCAGAAGGCTGAAGTCTTGAAAGAGGGAACTCAGGGGACACTAACCAAGAACTACCAACAGTCTGGGAATTAACTCTCACCCAGCCTTGAGCTAATCCACCCTGCTGACATGAGTTCTTCCTAACTAACATCCAAGAGGGTTTGCAATTCCCAGGAAAGATCCTGCAGCCGCTGGGCAAAGGGTAACTTGGGCTAAACCTGCTAGAAGGGAATCTTTTAGATCTGGCACAGTCTGGATTTAAGGTAGGCTGTGGAACTGGAGCTATTTGAGTGGCATTGATGGATGACGCCCTCCTGTCAGTGCAGAGAGAGCAGACATCCATCCTCATCCTCCTTGACTTCAGCATTAACTGTGAGATATTGCTGTCTTGCTTGATAGGTGGCAGAAGTCCAGGGTAATGCAGTCATTCCTACTGGGACATACCCCACGACTTGTGAAAAAAGTGTTATCTTCAGCACTACACTCCTCTTTCCTGTGGGCTTCTGATCTGTATTCCTTATGATGCTTTCCTGTCTCTATACAGAGCCAGTAGGTGACATGGAACAAACTGAATTACCAGAAATAGGCAGGGAAAATACAGGTAAACCTAAATTTCTGTGTACGTAAACGCGCTGCTACTGCCAACGTGGCAGTGGAAGAAAAACGGCTGGTTAACTCCAATCTAAACAGAGGTAAGACAGATGGGAGACAGGAAAGCATCTTTAAGAGCTTGTCACTTGGGTGCACTGTGCCTGGCAGGATGGTGCATTTCCACAATTGGTGTGCTTGGTTTATAATTTAAGAGTGCTCTTGGATTTGTTACTGATGCTATGTTTTCCCACAGCACCCTCTGCAAGTAACAGTCCTATTCTCTTCCATTGGCTAGGAGGCTTTCTGCCACCGTGGCAGGTGATGACCTTGTCTCTGTTATTCATGGCTGTGTCACTTCTCAGCTGGACTATAGTCATTTGAAATATGCAAGCACGCAGCATTCATGCTAAGAAAACTTCATTTGCTGCTGCAACGCATCTCTTCAGTGACAAAGGCATATCAAACCTGGCATTGGGCCTGGCACCAGCTTCCCATGGAATCCCTAATTGAGTTCATGGTCTTCGTTCTTATCATCCTCGTCACATCTAACACTTTGTATAGAGCTGCAGCAAAGGAAACGTTTGACAGATTCGCTCCACCAGCCCGATGAGCTCTCTGCAGAAAGAATCACACACATCTGTCCGGAGCCCTCAGCCTGTGGATTTAACATCTTCAGGGAATGAAAAACTTTACCAAACCTCCCCTCCATCATAAGGCATATTTCTCTGACTTGCATAAATAATAACATCAGAAATACAAAACCAAGGTGCTCCATTACATCCACTTCTCACTTGGCAGGAAGGTGAGAGAGGGAATCGGTGTGTGACCAATGCACTGGTACGATGCTTATCAATAGGGTGTGTGGAGCTGGCTACTATGGGGATGAGCCACATGAGCTTACTCCCAACCTCAGCCACCAATGGCCCTTTCCTAGGCCTCTCCCCATGTAAAAGTCTCCTTGTTTTGCCACGTGATCCCATTAGAAAGCTCTGACAAACGGTGCAGGGTCTCTTCCTGGAGGAAGTGTTTTCCACAGTGCCTGTTCTCTATGGCAGACCCTTGCTCTGCAGTCCCAGCAGCGAAGCCAAAGCCTGGTCAGCATGGTACAGTTGGCCTGGCATGGCCCTGGCACCAGGGCCAACATAGCTACACAGGGGTGCCAACATGCAGGGCACACACGGGTCAGCAGTCCATGTTGGACCTGTTATGCCTGAGAGTTACCGGGATCTGACCAGAAAGAAACCAAATGTGTCTTACTCAGATACTAAAGTGCACTCACTGTCCCTATTTTTATTTTACATATTGTCCCTGTTCAAATAAGGAATGTGCATTAATTCTGTACATTGCCAGCTCCTCAGCATGGATATTACTATAATTGTTTAAACTGAGAGCTTGTACATTTGTCTCAGCATAGTAAATGTGGTTTTAAAGGCTGTTGGCAGGTCATTTGGCCTTTAAAAATCACATGTTCTTCTCTAGAGTATGAACCTTAATCCAAATAAGACTTTTTTAAATTGATTTTTCAAGTGCTGCAGTATTTTTAAGGCATTTTTGTAAATCCCATCTTCAAACAGTGAACTATCTCCAAGTCCTGCAGTCTTCAAAGATCACAGCAGACGATGGTAAGAGGGTAGGTCACAGTACCAGGAACCACATGGAAATTATTTACTGTATAAAACTAAGAAAGGTAATGAAGATCTGTGTAAAGGATGAAAGCTCTTTGACTAAGAGCAGCGTTTGCTGAAATTCACACTGATTATTGTGGCAAGAGTGCACTTGCTAAGAGGCTTCCTTCCCCATAGGTAACTTTCAAGTTGCTCATATTGCAGCTAGTCCTAAACATGTCTGTATCTGGGGGACTGATTGTTGTATTGCATCTAATTTTTTGGTGTAAGTTCTCTTTATGTTCAAGACAGATTGATGCTTGTTCTGTAATCAGATTTCTACCAATATAATGGTCAGTTACAGGTATTTTTCCAGTGTATTCAACCTGGTACAACTCTTCATGTTCATCACAATTAAGGTATTTACAGTATGGCTCTACTTGCCTTCATTCTGCACTTGCAGTAAGAAATCACCAACATAAAGCAGCTCCCTCTCAGCTGAATGGCACCCTCACAGTGGAGGCTGTGTTGATTTAATCAAGCCTGCATGGTCTAAGATGAAGCAAAGCTTAGAGTGACTGCAGCTGCCTGCTTGGGATCTTTCCTGGGGAGAGGGATCCACCACCAGCGCTTGTGGCACAGGTCTCTGCTGTGAAAACTGAAGGAGCAGCAGAAATGCTTTGAACGGACCCAAAAGAAGAGCAGCTAAAAGCCACAACAGGCTGTGTTTGACCATGAATGTTTTCCAACCCTAACAGCTCACAGTTCAGGTCAGCTGGAGCTTTTTCAGCTGTTTTTGTTAGTGTGGCTGACTGAGATTTCATCAAATGAGAGGGAAAAAGGACCTTTCCTTACAAAGGGGATGAGATTCATGTTGAGATTTTGAAAGTGGGTGCTGGCCATAAAGTTTGCCAGATATGAACTATCCACTCAACAGGAGAAAGCGCAGGGTCTGAGGGACATAGTGATTCCTGCCTCACCCAGCTTTACCCTCCATCAGCCTGTTGAGACTGCTCCTCCTCCCACTCCCCTCTTTTCCCAAAGCCTGGGAACAGGTCAGACAATACATGGCTGCTTCATTCCTGCTGGAATCATTATTTGTTCCCTCACAAAACGCCTGACGTAGGCCATGCCCTCCCAGCACTGGCCCTGAGGCGGCCACAGGAACCCTCACCATGGCTGTGGGCCCACCACACTGGGACAGAACAATGAGTTCACCCGCATCCACCCTCCTTTCCTGAGGGTTTGGGAGGAAAGGGGAAAACACAAACATGGAATTACCTCAGGAGCACAAGTGCCGGGGGGAGCTGCATGGGTGTTCCGTCCCTGGCGGTGTTCAAGGCCAGGCTGGACAGCGCCTTGAGTGCCATGGTCTAGTGTGAGGTTCCCCTGCCCATGGCAGCGCCTTGGAACTGGATGATCTTAAGGTCCTTCCCAACCTTAACTATTCTATGATCCTATGTTGGCCATTACAACCACAAACACAGATGCAGGAAGAGAGATGATAAAATGCTCTGTGGGTCAGAGTTACAGGCAAAAACATTCACCAGAAAGAGGCCAAATTCCTTGAAAATGGAGGGTTTTGGGGGCACTTCACCTCTACTCCTCTGGCAGGTCCTGGCCGCTCGGGCAGGAGGGAAACGTGTGGCAGCGGCAGCATGGCTCCTGCCATCAGCACTGGGGCTGCCTCTGAGAGCAACAGCGCTTTTGGGTCCAGATTATTGTTCCTCGTGCTCCTTTGTTTGCCATTGTAATCTCCGTAGTCATTCTCCTTGATAAACAAACACGTGAAAAGATGCAATGAGCTGTAAGAATAGATTTGCACAGGGCAGACAACGGAACATTTAATTTATTTACCTCTCCTAACAGATACCTGGGGTGACATTTATTAATAAACGGCATTATCAGGTGTCTGATATGTAGCTCACAGAAATTAATTACCCAGCCCATGGTAAAACCATAACAAGCCTGCAGTGCTGTAACATTTGTGCTAATTGAAAATGAGATAAGTGCTGTGGGTGCAATTTGCATTCAATGCAGTGTATTAATTATCTTCAGTTCTCTTCATGATAAATATACCTGACTGAACCACTCTGCTAATTTACTGTGTAATAGAGTCATAAGTGGATTCCCTTAGGTGACCAACTACAGGCATTGGGCTCTTTGCAACATCAAGGCCTTCCTTTTTTCCCAGGCACTTTAATGGGTTAGCAAACACGGAATGCTTTTCTTGCAGGCTGTGTTGGGAGTGCACAGCAGCTCAGGATGAAATTAGGAATCAAGACCCCCTCAACCCAAGACTTCTGTGCTTTGTAAAGCCGAAGAGGAAGCACCTCCATCCGTGGCAAGCCGTGAGGTCTGAGGAAAGGTCTTTCCCCGCCTTGCTCCTCATCCTCCCCCTTCCCCATTCATTTCACAGTCAGGTTATCGTGGGATTTAATTACATTTGGTGTGAGGTGTAAATTAATTGACTCTTGTAACACCCATAATGATCAGGAGAATTCAGATTTAAAGATACTGTGCAGTTCCAGTAGATTAAGGCACTAATTGTTCCGCTCTCACCGACTATGATTTATGTGGGGATCAGGTTACAAAACCAATATGTGCTCAAGTTAAAGCTCTGTGGTACCATACAATTAGGACTAAAGCTTTTTGTAAATGGGCCCAATAATGCAAAAAGCTCTCCGCTAATCCCGGTCTTTTTAATTCAGAGGTCACGCATTGTCTAAGGCAACCGCTTATACTATAGGCAACCGCTGTCCTTTATTCACCCTCCTCCTGTGCAGCTTGGGTATCTGAATTTGCCACTAACCTTGGACGTGCTGTTACTAATTTCAGGGTAGGTGATGGCAATGCAAGAAGATCAGGGCCAGCCCTTTGCTGCGCTGCCCCCGGAGCAGCCTGGGCACGCTGTGACGGAGAGGTGATATCTGCCTCCTCCGGCTCCCCTTCAGCGTGCAGCCTGCGCACGGGGTCAGCTCTGGGGCTCCGCTGTCAAGTAAGCAGACATCCGGGGCAGCAGACGGATGGAGGTGACAGTCACCGTGGCAGCTGAAGGGGCCAGGAGGTGGTGCAGGCAGGGAGAAGGGGCAGCAGCAGAGGAGGGGGGACAGGCTCTGCGCCCCTTCATCCTGCCTACCCCACAGCCAGCAGCGCTTTGTTATCGTCATGCGGCCGGGTGCTTTCTCATCACTTTGTCCTTGTCCGTGGGGTGCTGGAATCCAGCACAGTTTTCCTTGCGGAGCACCACCAGGACAGCTTTCCACCATCCTCCATTAAGCATGGCATAGCCAGTGTTGTGAACTGGGCAGGAGGAGGCAGTGGGTGGGCATGCAGTCGGTGTGCCAGAGCAACTAAGAGGTGAGAAAGATCAAGGTGAAAAGAAGGTAAGAAGTTGAGATTTCAATGCCAAAAGAATCGCTTTGCTTTTCAATAGAGTATCTAAGCACAAAAAAGCTGGAGAGAAGGTGCACATCTGCCAAAGACATGTCCACCTGTTCCTTTTGAAACAGAGAAGGCTCTCCAAGCTCTTATTCTTTTTCTAAACACATCAACTGCAAATACAAGCCAGTTTACCAAATTATTTTGTGTGGCTGCCCACACTCTCTTTGCTTTTTGTGTTTGGTCAGTTTAATACCAAAGGCGCACTGTAACATTTTAGAGCTGTTTTTAATGTGCTGGTATGAGCTGTGTCAGAGACCTTAGCAGTGACATCTACAAAGGCATCAATTATATCTCCTCAGCCCTTTCCTCGTTCTCTGGTAAGGAATTCATTGGAAGGATAAAATCTGAGCTTTTCCTGAAATGCTTACATTGCTACAAGGACAGCAAGGGTCTGCCTGATGAGGAGGGACCTTGTAATGGTGGTTTATTGGGGTGCCCAGAGCAAGGGCAGGGTTATCCCACCCAAAGCAGAGCTGTCTGACATCACTGACTTCTGGAAACAAGCAGGCATGGGGCAATGTGTGCTGCAGCCACCTTTGCTTTACCATCCACCCCTTGTTATCACCCAGGCCCAAGGTGGAATCCTCTCTCAGATGTAACTCCCCATCTGGGCTATAAATTCTTTCTCTAAAGAAGGAAAAAAGCCTCAGTGGGGCAGAGGAGCATCTTGGGGGGCCCAAGGACCCCCAGCACAGATGACTGAGCCAGCATTCCTAGCAAAAGGTACTGCAACATCCGCATCTCTCACTACCACATAGCCCACATGCATCCCTTACCACTATGCTGCAAGGGTGTCAGCATCCTCATCCCTTGGGCAAACAGGACACAGCAGCTTGCCCAAGGGTGCCCAGCAGGCTGTGGCAGGGCTAAAGCACAACCCTGCTCTCCTGCATCCTGGTTTTGTGCTCAGTATACCGGGCCCCCCCTGCTTTTACACAAGTGCAGTGGCTCAAACACCTTCCTGCTCTTTCAGGAAATCCAGCACTGCACAGAATAGGACATGAGATGTGATGGAAAAAGCAGGAGGGAAACATGAACAAAAAAAGTCTTAACTTTCTGTGTGAAGCACACATTTGCTAAATAGAATCCTAATGGCATTATTGTACCTAAAAACAGAGACTTGAAAATGCTGTATACATTATTATGCTCATTATCTAACAACTGCAAGAATGCTGTGCTAAAACTAACTCAAAACACCTCAGGTAAGGTAATTGCTACTAATGGATTTGAAGTGTGCAAAATTGAGCGTTATTACACCGACATCACATTCTCGACTTGGTGAAGCTGTTGGATATTGTAGCTACCAGCTCACTCATCTCTCGATCGGGCAGAGATTTGAGGAAAAGGGCAAGCTCTGTGTCATTCAGCACTGGAAGGAAAATTCAACAACACAATATTACAGCAGCCTGTTTGCACCTCGATGGTTAAGATGGGGTCAGAGCTCCCTTCCTAAACCACTGCTTCAGAAAAACATCTACACGGGTTTGCTCCACAAGTAAATCTCCTGGGAAAGACCTGAGAGCAAACTTTGCATTTGTGAGATTTACAGCTTGTAGATCTAAAAAAGGAATGGGACAGGAGCCTGCAAAGTTGTTCTAAATGAGGGGAGCCATGGGTCCAAGTGACGTATTCTGATGCAAATTAAGGCCTGAGTCTTCAAGATATCCTAAGCCACTATAAAGCCCCACTGCCTAAAGACAGAAAATGATCTTTTCAGACCCCTCCTTATACAGGGGGATGATGCCAAAGCCCAGGTGTGCTGGAAACAAGATACTTGATTCACCTGCTTGAAAAGTCCCATATAACAGAATATATTCATTTAGGTTGTTTGGTACATCAGCAGCTATCCTCAAAACAAGCGGCTCCCGGGAGTTTTGCTCTCTTTCATGAAAGCTAAAACCTAAACTCTACCAGAGCAAATGCTTTTCTAATCTGCGAGAAGTTAGGACAAGGCCGGTTCTTATTTTAGCTATAACATCAAAGCTACAAATTAGTGTTTGGAAAAAATTAGGTTAACTATTGTCATTTCGGCTAGAAGAATAGGCGGCCAGTACCCAATAAGTTTCAGTTCCTTCTGATTATCTTGGGGGAAAGAAATTAAAGAGGCCATGTCTGAACAGGATTAAAGCAGTCCCTACCCGAGTACAGAAAGCACAAAGAAATGTGAACTCACAGCTGCAAGCGAAGGCAATGGGAGCTGTGCTTTGAACAGATAACAAGCTAAGTCCTCTGAAAAATCAGACCATGCATCTCAGATTGGGAACTTAAAATTAGTGAATACTTTTCTACTTAATCTCTTTCTGCCTCAGTTCTTCATCATGAAATGGGGATAAAGCTACCACCCAATGCCTCACTGCAGTGCAGTGAAAGTAAGTTCATTAATGTTTATGAAACATTCAGTTACCATAGCGATGAGTTCTATAGAAAAGCCCATGTGGAAATTAATATTTCTGTCTTCAGAGCGGGGTTTGAATAGAACGCATTTAGTAAGGCCTGGGGCCACACAATGAGGAGAGAAGAAAACAGTAAATAACTCGCCCCAGAAAAATAAAAACAATCATCAAAGCAAAATGGCCTGTTCAGCAGAATTATTTTTAATAGGAATTCTTCATTTTGGTAAAAGTTCCTTGGTGAAAAAACATAAAATCTGTTTCTTTTGCTTTTAACTTTCACTCTTCCAGTTCTCCGCATTTGTCTTCCTAGCATGGGGGAGACAGCTCTACTAAAGAGCTTATTTGAAGAGTCTGGAAACCACCATCATCCAGGTTCCAGAAATCATCATTTTCACCAGTTTGCTGTGGCAAAAATCTGATTAAAATTAGTGACATCGGTGATCACCAAATCGAGCTCCTGAACAATCCTGACCCATTCAATCCATCGGTTGGTCTCATTACAGGTTCTCAACTCAGTTTACCTGTTGGAGCTGTGACATCAGCATGGCAATCAATACAACTAACCCCTGGATTCAAGTCATTAACAACTTGGCGACAAGGAAATCACAGGCAAGCACAAGCCTACACTGCGTAAGCTGTGCAGATGGATATGAACATGGGAAAAAACCCCATTTTAAGAAGAGACATGGCTTTGGCAGGAGAAGAGTCTTAGCAACAAACTTTCCCTAGGACCAGCTGCAGGTTCCTATGGTAGGTGCTGGCTGACTTAGAGCAAGCACAGCTCAGGGACAAGCTTGACCACAACTACACTTCCCACTGTTTCAGGGGCCACTATTGAAAATACAACCCCCCTTCTTTATTTCCTTCATGTTTTTTGCAGTGAAAAACATGGTGTTTCCTGTAAGAGAGAACTTTTGCCATAAAGCAAGGAAGAAAACTCTGAAATCCCCATCTGAATGCACCTACCTTCATCTGAAAGCGATTAATCAGATCTTCCTCCTTCTTCTCTGCTTTAGTTGCTGCTCTCTTACCCATTTCTCCCACTGTACCCAATGGAAATACATCTATTTTCATTTGGCAACCATGGCCTTTTCTGAAAAAGGAAGTTTCAATATGGTACAGAATGACAAGATTGAGGCAGGGAGAATAAACTGCTGGAGTTATTTATTGCGTTCAGTCACTGGGTTTCGCACCAAGCTGGGTTGCTTACCCTTTTTTCTCTTTCTGATGAGTAACACTGTTGTCCTGTTAATTGCCAGTTATTTCAAAACCATGATTAATAGTTTTATAGTGCAGAATAATAGAATTAACAGACTACATTTCTAATGGTCTTCTAGCAGGAAGAGGCAGAGGAACCTGTTCACCCATGCTGAACTTCCACACAACAGAAACCCCAAGGTGTGCGGCTACAATTGCCACAAAGCCCTGCTCAGCCTTACTTGCCCTTATGGGGAGGTGCCTCTGCCCCCTTCACTGGCACAGGGTGGCTCCCCTGACACACACATAAACCACTGTGGAGCTTAGCCTGGGAGCTCCAGGCAAAAGGTAGTATTTCTACTTAAGCACAGTGTTAAATAGGCTTGTGCAATCCAGTCGGAAAATCCTGTTAGAAGCAAGGCATTGACAGGATTTTTGGAACAATAAATTCATATTTTAAACCAAATATGTTTTAACAACAGCTCAAGCAGATCTAGTTAAATCCATTCAACTAAACAAAGGTAAGATGGGCATCACCTTTTACATTTCAAAGCAAGCCTGAAATAAATTTGGCTCAGCAGGAAACTCCACCTACAAGTAAATTATTCCATGGCTCTTCATGATACAGATGCAATTCTTAGGCAGGTCTGGTGCTGAAAAACAGGGAAGAACGTATGCTCCGTTCAGTGACAACTGATTTTATTTCAGAGCACCCATGTTTCTGTAGGGTGCCTCAAGCTAAGGTGCTGTGTGCTTGCTGGGACATGATGGAGAGTGCATGGAGCATATGGAGGAGCCTTCAGCATCATATTGCAAGGGTTTGCCCTGCCTCAGAGGCAAGGACCAAACCAGCTTATGGCTATAAACTTTCTGGTGCCCCTTTGCACCAGAAAATAGCAGCGGCCTTTTCCACAGGCTACAGGAAACTTCAACCAGAACTACAGAAGCTTTCAAGTCTTCCTTTAGGAAAAGCTCTTCTAAAGAGAGGAAGCCTAATTACGAGCCCTGCATCCTGCTCACAAAGCCCTGGTACCCAGAAATGATGCGAGGGCCAATTGCCAGGACTAAACATTTAAGGCATCAACAGGTGTTACATGTTATGCATCAATGAGGTGTACATCACTGAAACATAAAGAGCCAGCAAGCCGGCAGCAGAGCCATCAACCACAACAACACAGCCATAAAATCCTAATTAGCCTCATCCACTTGTTATGGACATTTTTATTTATTGACATGGTCAAATTAACAGGCAGCAGCGTTTTATTGTAACGAGAGCCTTGAAATCAGCCCAGGAAGAAAGTTAGCATTAACATTCAGCTCCTGCATGCCATCCACATTTAGCCACATAGATGTGGATTTTCAAATAAGAACTAAGTATTGTCACTCTAATTAAGTTACCTTGAGCAGGTGAGAGAAACTGAGTCCTTAATCAATGCACATCTTGTTCTATTCCCATTCTGTACAGAAAAACCACGCAGCAGCAGAAACTCAGCAAACTCCATAGTCTGAAGTGTGCACAGCCACAAGCCTGAGCCCTGCCTGCTGGAAGGAGCCAATTCAGGCAAAAGGAAGTGAGAATGTGTGCTTATGGAGTTGTCCTCATGGCAATGTCTTTGTGGAGGGTGTCCCTCAGGGTCCGTATTGATCATCCATGGAGAGTGTCCTCATGGAGGTGTCCTCCCTGGGGATTACGTTTTTCCCCCTTTTATAATGAGTTGGGGGCAATACCCCTCTTCTTAGTGTCCTGTATAACATGTTCATGGTGGACTAGTTTCATTGGCCTTGCAGCCAGCTCGTCAGCTGCACGTACCTGCAGCAGTTCTTGGGATAATGGGGGCAGCCAATCCCTCACACCATTCCTCAAGATAATGGAGAGAAGAGTCTAATCTCAACTCCTCCCACCCATCTCGGAGACAGTGGATGGTGGAATCCCATCTCAGCTTCCCGTACCAATCTTTGAGACAACGGATTGGTGGAGCCTGGTCTCGGTTCAGTCTCACAAATGCCAGGAATGAAAAGTCATTCTCTGAACCTCACTGGCCACAAGATATCTGAAAAGTGACCACAAGCTGGGGAACAAGACTGGCTGTCCCAGAGGAACAGTGCACTTATTTACATACTTCCAAAGAGCAGGTGCCTTACTGAATGATAAGCTGCAGCTAGAATCATAGATTCATAGTCTCAACCAGGTTGGAAAAAAGCATCAAATCCAACTGTTCCCCATCCCTGCCAAGGCCAGCACTGACCCATGGCACTGAGGCCTCGTCTCCACGCTGTGTGAACACTTGCAGGGACGGTGACTGCAGCCCTGCCCTGGGCAGCCTGTTCCAATGCCTGAGCACCCTCTGGGGAAGGAATTGTTCCTCAGCTCCATCTAAACCTGCCCTGGTGCAGCTTGAGGCCGGTTCCTCAAGGTTTGTGTCCGTCACGACAGAAAGGCAGATTCCTGTAACACAGACAAGATGCAATGGCCATTAAATACTGTCCCTAGCTCAGTTACAAAGCAGGAGTGAGTATCTTGGTGCAGTTATTAGTGCAGTGGGAAATACATGAGCCTAATTGCTCCTTAAGCTAGGTAAAGACAAAGGAACTGAGCAGCAGTAGGTTATCAACTGGGCTAAAGAGAGCACACAGAGCAAAGAAGAATTAAGAACGCTTTACAGGGTGTTTTAAGCAAGTTTACATTTTGCTGAAGATAAAAGGGTTTTCTTTTTAAGTGAGGCACTTTTGGAAATTAAATCATTGCTTCATGCATTTAAAATGTACTCAGTATAGGCACCTTCACAAATCCCATTTAAAACTTTTGATTCATCCACCTTAAACAAGAATATTCCAGCAATTGCAAAGAAAAACTGGGAAATGATTTGTGTAAGAGCTGAACCAAGAAAACTGAATATTTAGCATGAATTACTTATAATGTCCTTGGCTTGTTGGTAATTTCTGTTGTATACAAAGGATCACAGTTGCAAAAAGTACCAAGATCCCACATTCAGAAGTGAGTTGTGGGTCCAATTTCAGAGTCCAAAATGCTGAAACACTTCAAAAATACAGTTTGAAATCATGGTTCACTTCATCACACTAGAAAGTTTTACACTAGATCCTGTTCTGTGGCTTAGATGTGGGCTGAGAATGGGATGAGGGAGAAAGAGAAAAGCGCTTATAGAGGTTCTTTGGCTCCTTCGACTTGGCACTTGGGGTGCTCTGAGAGGGGCTGAATCAGTGTCCCCAGGGCACCCCCCCCTCCTGGCCAAGGCAGGAGGTACTTCTATTGCCTTTCTTCAGATGGTGGAAATATGGTGGAGGGAGAGGAGGGCAAAAACCAGGGGGAGGAAGGCAGTTTTCAGTATTTGCTGTTATTATAGGTTATATATACAGGAAGAAAGTTAATTAAGCTTTAAAAAATCCATCACACATCAATGGGTGCATTTTAATGAGTACAAAAAGTTGAGGTGTTTACTGCCAATTAAAGTGGTTTTTAAATAAGCATTAATTAAACACAGGAATTCAGAAGAAAGTTATACCTTGTCAAAGAAAGGCCAGTGCCGTCTATGCCCACTTCTGCTCCCATTCAGACTCAGATAGTAATTACCACCAACCCTATATTTTCCATAATAATGAGGAGAGGCTGTCATGGCTGTCAAACAAAAACAAAACAAAAAAAATAAAAGAAAGAAGGTAGTGCACAAAAATACCCTCAAACTGAAGTAAACTTTTCCTTTAGAGCCAAAGCCACAGGAGACGGCAGTGTGGAGCAAGGCAGCGAGGACAGCAGCTCCTTCCAGGCAGCACAACGTTGCTATATGGAGGGAAGCCTCCCCACATGGCTTCTTTCTAGTTGAAGACAGGGCAAGGAACAAGCAGCTTCACCACCAGTGCTTCACCTCATGGAGGAGCTGCGCAAGCCAAAGAAGTTGGTTTGTAACACAAGCAAGTGCTGACTCATTCCCCGCTTCCCAAAGTAGGGAACTGGGTTTCTCATCATTCTGGAACAAGGAAAACAAGTGATAGAAGCAACCACTGAAAGTCCGTTCAGTTTGCATGTATCCTTCCAGCTTTCCAGTGCAACATGGAAAGAGGTATGGTTGTCAATTCCCTGTTCTTCTTTTGAAGTTCCCTTTCAGCTCTATTTCAGCTACTGTCTGTCCCTAAGTGGGGAGCAGAGGAAGAGGATTCTCCCACTGTTAGCCAGGTCCATGTTTAAATACCTTAGGAAAACCTTCCCACCCACAAAGTGCATCTCAGGCCCCAAATGAGGTTTTTAAACTGCTTTGTTGAGAATGGTTTCCCACCTCAGTTTCCCAGGTGCAGAGAGACAAAAACCCCACCACCTTTCCAGCCAACAGCAGAGGCAGGTCCCATTCCCAGTCCCCTAACGACTTTCAGACAACTCTTCAGTGGAGTGCTTTTGAAAGTTAATTTAAACACCATAGAAAAGAAGGATGTAGACATGCACAGCCTCCTGTTCATAGAGCCCCTGTCCCTTAGCAGGCTGCTCATATGAGTTGTTTCACTCAAACAAGCCTCTCTATAGAGTACAAAGCTTGCGTCTACCAAGGAGTACCTGGGTGCCTCTTTCCTATGCTGTGTCCTCAGGTGATATCTGCAGTGAAAGAGAAGGAGAACATCAAAACCCATGGAATTTAGCTGGACAGGGCCTTCAGATCTCGCCCTAATCTTTCTAACATATCTGATGGGGCTAGAGAGGAATATTTTATTGCTAGAAATAGTTGAGTGATTACTTCAGAGAAAGGACGGACGTAACACAAAAGAGTTTCCAAGTGCAGACAGGAAGGAATGTTGCTCATGCGAAATTCCACATTAGGCACTACAATAATAATAAAAACCCCACCGGCCCTTGTGATGTCTGAACTCCCCGACACTGATGTATGGACAGGGCAACAGAGGAGGAAAGAGACAGGGAGAGCAAAGCAAATATGCCGGGATGCTTACGAGCAGAATACAGGAGCCAAGTGTCACAAGTTGACCCTTTGTGTTTGCACTGAAACCTGACTGCTCCGGGCAGAATTCCTTTAGCTGTTCATACCTGGTTTGATTTTTGTTGATAATGGCTATTTCTCACAGCATTGTGACATTTAATGCCTTTTAATCAAGACTTCAGAGAAGGAGATACGATTTTAATTACTAAAAAAAATCCATTGTAACACATTTATGTTTTCCTCAGATGGATTTGACCCAGCTCTGATGAAGGGCTGCAATAAATAAGCGTTGTGCATACAGGCACACGGCAGGAATACAGCTTGCTTCGGAACAAATGAGCTGTGCATCCAAGGAAAACGCTCGATCCCTGATGGCTGCAGAAGGGTCCTGTCACGTCCTGTGCTGGAAAACCTCTCACACTTCCAGACAAGGAGAGGAGCACATGATGGCAATCACGGTGTGGGTCACCCACTGCTCAGGGTAGACCTGATGTACATCATCCTCTGGGACTGCTACCACAGAGACACCTGGATGCCAGCATAGTTGGGTTTCTCATCATTCAGGAACAAGTCAAACAAGGTATAGAATTGCAGGGAATATAAACCATTTACATCTTTCTTATTAAGGGTGAGTGTGGCACTGTGCTGGGAAGCACCTGGTAACTATCAAGCAAGGAGAGGTGGAAGTGCCCAGCATTATCAATAGTACCAACCTCTGCGGCTTCAGCCCATTTTTTCAGGCCCTCTGACACGAGGTTGGGATGTTCCTTCCTTGAGGCTTGCACACGGGTTGTACAAGACCACAACATAAAGATGAAAGTGCAGCATCTCTCTGAACACAGAACAGGATTCTTGCGGTCATTCACCAGCCTTTTGGCTTGGTGTCCTTCCCCAGCAGGTCCATTTCGTGCTTAGTTGGGATGGGGACCACACCAAGTGGCAGGAATCATTGGTACTTTGGGTTTTATACCAAAATAAGTTAGCCTACAACCCTTGTCTGTTGTTCTTTGTGGCTGTCATACATTAAAAATCACTTAAGTGGCCAGTTAAATGAATTTTATGTAAAGACAGGCTGCTTTTCCTCTTATAATGATTAAATGAGGGACGGAAAGAGATTTGCTTTAAAAGACCTCTAGCTGAAGGTTGGCTTATGCCCTGAGCCAAACCAGTTTGAATTTCAACCAAAGCTCCTGATTGTGTTCAGGGTGTTTTTAACATTTCTCATTCATCTGCAAATACTTTCATATTTCATAGCCACACAAAGCTGTGCAGCTCTTGGGTCCCAACACACAGCTATGGGGATGTGTTAAAAGAAGGAAACATGCTTTTAAAATGCCTGAATGAAAGGAAAGACAACATTTGTGGCTGGGAGGCAAGTCAGAACAAAGTCCACTTGGAAAAAGGCTGAGAAACAACGGAGTCGGAATTGGCATCCCATGGATAATGAAAACAACATTCAATGGATTACTTGGTTAATAACTGGAAAACCCCAAGGAGCACACAAACAGAGAAAGGAGGAGGTAATTCCTTTGGAAGTACTGTAGGATTTTTCCAGGCTCCTGAGGCTTCAAATGAGGCTGCCTGGCCATACTCATAAGACTGTATACTCACACTGGTTTTTTTTTGTAGTTAAATCAGTGCAAAAACTACCTGTATGCTCCTAAGTCAATGGAAACCTGATTTCTTCTGCATGCGGATCTCTGCAGCCTCATCAGAGATGACTGACCAGGCTGAGTGTCCTGCCATAGGATACATGGGATTTCTCCCAAGAGTGCATCCCACAAGTGTAAAACTTCATTATAACTTAGTGTCTTGTCCTCACATTGGTACTTAAGTCAGATAACGCTGCTTTCCCTGCACTAAGCAGGGACCTGATAACAAGTCTCAAAAGCCAGCAGCACCCTCAGTAGTTACAGCAATAGGACAGACAGATTCTCAGCTGCCAGTGACTTCAACCATCCACAACCTTCCATGTGATGCTGAAAGAAATGTCCATCTCCTTCCCTGCCACGTAAGCACGCAGTGACCCACCTTTCTAACTACCCACTTGACACTTCAGTTTTGAGGGTTTGTGTGACTAAACAACAGGTTCCCATCTCAGTGGGGCCTTCTCTTAACTTACCTTTTGATTACTCAGAAACCTTCTGAAAGGACACTGCCCTTAAAGAGGGCCTGAAGAAGGTCTCAGAAGATGTCTCTGTTGTTTTCCCCATTGACAGTGTGGCAGGAGCCCTGCCTTACCCCACTCTCTCCCTGTTGAAGTGACAAAGGTCAATTCAGAGTTTCCAAAACGGAAACAAACCTTTAATTTTAGGTACTATATTTCCAGAGACGAGGCCAACAACGTGACAAGACAGTGCGTTGGTATGAAGGTGGATATTATTGTGAAACAGAAGAGAGGTCAAAAAGCCACCACACGAGCTATGGACAGGAGGTGACCGGTAGCACGGGTTCCATCCCCCTGTGCCAGAGAAGCCAAACCAAAACACACACATCCTCACGTGCCTCCGTGCACGTGCCGCGAGCCGAGGTGTGGGACTCCTAAGGGGACCGTGGTGCTGCTGCTGCTGGAATACCACAGACAGGAGCTAAGCTCTGCCAAGGGATCTGCTACCTGTATTGTAAAGCTGTCGAGCCAGGTTTGTGATTTAAAACCCAAAATTCAAACCCTTTTTAACAGCAAAATTGAATTGACCGTAACAAAATAATAGAGCACGACATTGCTAAAAGGGTCTGGATAAAAAAAAAAGGCATCCTGAAAACCTCACCTGAAACAGCTCTGAGCATTTCCAGGTTTCTCCTGCCTCACTGTGCAAAGCAGCAGCTCGCTTCTCTCCAGAGCTGCGGAGGTAAGAGCACACGAATGATTAAACAAGCAGGTTTAACTACCTCGCGCCGACCAGGAATTTGTCAACACGGGCTCAGTATTTATGTGGCTCTGCAGCAAACACTGTACGGCTGCAGGAGTCAAGCAGCTGCCTGTCAATAAAGCCATTCTCCTCGCTGGAACATAATAGCACAGACTCAACATGACCCTCAGAGGCCTCTTTAAGCTGCCTGGCTGTCTCCTCCTTCCCCATCCCTCCAGAGTCCTTCACCAGCAAGATCTGTATTGAAAGGGAGGGGAATAAATCACCCCCAAACACACGTATTAGAATCTTTTCTATCCATCTTCATATTAAAAGTGACTTAACCCTGGGCAAATCAGTCTACGTGCACATGAGCCTGAGCTAAAGCAAAGTTAGGGAAAGACAGCTTTGATTCACAGCACGTGAAGGGCTACCGACAATCCCTTTTAATAGAGCTTGCAACATTAATGTAGCCGGAGCCACGTGTGACACCCATTAGGGCCAGGGAGAGCCCCCGTGCATATATTTCAAGGAAGCAGTAGATTCCCCGGTCCCAGAAGCTGTCTTCATTACAAAAGTCTAATGCATTTTTTATTATTCAGCCTTCAGTGGAAATGTCACCTTTCTAAAGCAAGCTGTTATCATGTGTTTCCCATGCCAAACACATGGCCTCTAAGGAGAGGGTTTTATCTCTACATTTCTAGTGATGTGTATTTCTGTTTCAAGGAGCTCCATGCCTTAAGGCACCCGAAGCGCTCGCAGCACAAGGAGGAGAGGTTACACAAGGTGCCGCTGAAGAGGACAATAAAAACCCAGGGCTGGGAGCCCGAGCAGCTTCCGAGGGCAGCCGATAATTCAGCTCCTCCAGTAGATGTAATTACGACGCTTCTCCTTGGGTTGGGACCATATCCTCGCAGAAGCAGGCGCCCAGCGAGCGCAGGCAGTGCCGCTGCCCCGGCGCCTGCCAACCAGCCAGATGCTGCCACATATTGGCATCTGGGGCCTGGAAAAGCAACTGCGGTCTCCGTTTGGCGGCGGATCCTGACCCCGGCGACTGAAGGA